CGTTCGTGAAAAATTTTCAATTCCAAAAAAAAAAAAAAAAAAGCAGAGATTCGAATCTACCAGCGAAAACCAACGGATTACGTTAACAATCGATATCGTATCATATCGAACCGATCCTCTTTTCAACCGTGAACAAAAGAGACGAAATCCGTCCACGGTGTGTAACACAAGGCCCTCCCTGCGTGGAGGCGCGAAACTTTCCGAATTAATTCGCGCCATTCTACATGCTAATATATCCCCGTGTAGTCAGCGATGTCGGTTGCTGAGCACCGGGAATTGAAAGTAATAAAACCGCGCTTCCCGAGAATAATAACGCAAAAAAATTCAAATTGAGGGTACGCTTATGCTTTAATAGCCGCCTCCGGATGTAGGTCATAGAATTTCGATCGCGCCTTTCGAACGATGATGGATGACGGATTTTTCCTACTGGTGAATGAACAAAAATCTCTCCTCTTCTCTCTTTTTTTTTATTTCCTCTCTTTCTCTCTCTCTCTCTCTCTCTCCTCTTTTTCTTTATTCTTTTTTTTTTTTTTCCTCTCTTTCTCTCTCTCTCTCCTCTTTTTCTTTATTCTTTTTTTTTTTTTTCGATTCCCATTCCAACAACGATAAATAACGCACGTGACAGCATAAGTGATTTTCGTCGCTCGATCATCGGTGGACTTGTGTCGATCCGCTAATTAACCCCCATCGCTGACTTGATTTACACCGACTCGATCCAGTCACGGGGCTTCGATCAAATATTATTCAATGCTCCACTGTGAATTAACTAACCTAGGCTCACTCCAGTCACGCTTCGAGGCCTCGAATAACATTTGAACGAACCGCGAGCGAACCGTGACCGTAACGTTAACCCTCTCTCCCTTTTCTCTCTTTCTCTCTCCCATTCTGCCCCATTCCCCGTTTCATACACGGCCCCCCTTTATTTCCTATTCTATCCGCATAAACGACGCCTAATTATGACACCGGTTAATCGCGTGTATTACCACCTTTTACAATGCTCGTTTGTGCCCGGTTAATTTAGCGAATTTAAACCTGAACGCGTTCGAAGCTGCGTAAATCGGGCGTATACGCGACCGCAGGGTAAATAAAGTAGCATGGCCGGATATGAATCTCACACGCTGGCATTAATTATCGTTAATATTCGTCGAGTTTACTATTATATTATATTATAGTTGCACTTTGTTAAAACTATACTATGAACTATGCTATGTCCCTCCCGTGTTTATAATATTTATACGTTAATGTTATTTGCCGTTGCAATTACGCGGAATGGGTTAAAGCGCGGGTTAACTCGGCCGCAAAATCTGACTATCTGATGGTTTCTGGCGCATGTTTTTGGCGTTTGTGAGATCACCGATTCGTGATCTAACAAGCATGCATTTCATTTAGGATAAATTCGGATGAGACGGAGCCTGCGGGTGGATGATGGACCGATCTATGTAAGTTGCGAGATAACATTTAGTAATTTGTTTCAGTTCCGTGCATATTGAATTTACAAGTAGAAGCTTATTTAATTAAATCGCGCTTATGGGAAATTTCATCTTTTCAATTTGAATATGATGGATATTTCTTGATTACAATTTCATTTACTTGAAATGTAAAAATAGGCAAAGATTTTTATCAATTCTTTCGATTTAAAACAATTCTCTTCAATTAATCGTCCAAAAACTAATGATTAAAGTCCTGTAAAATATAAAATATTGTTACAATAAATGTAAAATTTTTGTTAAAAATATACTTTTATAATTAAAATATACTATACTTTTTAATACAAATCCATTTAACTCGTATACGAATAAATTAATCCACGCTGTAATTAAACTGAATTAGTTAAACCAATTTTTGTTATATTGGACATTATTATAATATCATTCGACCAATAAACAAAAATCTTTACTCATTTCCTCCGCCAATTATAAACATAATTCGATCTTAAGAAAGAAAAAAAAAAGTAGTCCATCTCTCATCGTCATAAAATTAGCCCAATTAAACAATTTGCTTTACAACGGATCAATAGGAAAAATATAAAAGGGACGAAAGAATGGAACGAAGGGAGTCGAAAGCCAGTTTCTCTATAACGAGACAGCTAGCTCAAACAACGAAACGAAGTTTTCGCGAGCCCTCCCCACGATCAACGAATTCGACCGTGTATTTTTTGCCCCGATGATATGATTTCAATCGAATCGTGACCAACGCCCGGGTTATTATACAATAAACCAACCCCCGGTGATCACGGAACGGAGGAAACCGATATCATCTCGTCTCCCTCTCTTCCCCCTCTTCGCCTCGTTTCCGCTCTGTCTTTTCATTGTCATTCATTGCTGG